AAGATGTGTAATGATTTTTATGTTGGAGAAACTTACTCCAATCATTACCATAAAGATGTGGAGTAAGTTTGTCCAAGATGTGTAATGATTTTTATGTTGGAGAAACTTACTCCAATCATTACCATAAAGATGTGGAGTAAGTTTGTCCAAGATGTGTAATGATTTTTATGTTGGAGAAACTTACTCCAATCATTACCATAAAGATGTGTAATGATCGGAGTAAGTTTGTCCAACATAAATGTGTAATGATTGGAGTAAGTTTGTCCAATATAAAGATGTGTAATGATCTGAGTAAGTTTCTCCAACATAAAGATTTGGAGTAAGTTTGTCCAATATAAAGATGTGTAATGATCAATGTTTCATAATTTGATCTTGTGCCTTTTTTTTATTGTTTGTGTTACGTTTTAACAAGAATCACTGATATTTAAACTAAATTTGTGTGTTATTGTAGATATACCACAATAATTATTTCATGAGAATTATTGAATTTCGAAAACCAAAAAAGAATATATATATATATATCTATATATAGTAGATACTCTTGATGAGTTACACTTTCCTCGTTGTTGAACTAAGAATAATTAAAAGAACCAATGAAATTCCATTGTTGCTTTAAGCTGCTATTCTTTTTCTGATACAGATAAAACGATTTTAGTTTGGAACTAGATAATCTTCCTTTTAATTCTGTTTTAAAATGTAGGTTTTTGGAGCCAATAACGTTGAGCTGGTAACAAGGACTCGTACAGAACACTTATCTGATGCTGACAAAGCTCGCCATAAATCTGCTCGATCTCCATTCCAATCCTTTTTAGGCATTGTTGAGTCTGAAAATAAGGGAGTGCCAGTGGCTATGAATGGAGTAAGCAGGTGTTCTCGTTTGTAAATATAAAATGTTTAAAAATGATATTAGTAATGTATGCATTATTTATTGAGTACAAATTTAAAGAACTGAGTTGTAAAGTTGATGTTAGCTTAACTCTTTCCATGCTGGGTTGGTTGATGTGACCGACCTCGTAACCATCATAGTTTCCATACTATAGCTTCTAATATGTTTTGTGTATCTTCACAAAATTTGGCAAGCTTTCAGTAAACATTACAAGTTTTTTGTACAAAAGAAATTAGTTTTTAATTTAAGAATTTTTATTAAAGATTTGTCATTGGATGTATGGACTCAGAGTATTGACTGCTTCAAGTGCAAAGTGATTTTCATGTTAATATTAAAAATATTTCATTTGCAAAATCAGGTTTCCTAACTTTTCAAGACACATTCGTAACACAGTAAAGCTTGGTTTTCTTCTAATGTACATATATTAAGCTTACTTTGGAATTTGGATTCTTTAAGGACACATCAGAATACAGGAGTAATCCCTGCCACATAACACCAGAAGAATATTTTGACTCCAGTGTAGATCTTGGAAGACGGGATATTGGACAGCCACGAGAGGTCTCCAGTAAAGTTCAGAAATTTAAGGCTAATCTTTGGTTGTGTGAAAATTATCCCCTGTCTCTTCAAGAGCAGGTAAATGTTATTTATATAATCAATCTTGATCTCAGCTGTCATCTTATGTAATAGCAATGCATACGTAACAGCTACAACAGAGTATTTTGCCCTCGAATTTTATGACGCATAACTAAAAAAACAAACAAATTAAGTAAACGTAACTTAGATCTTAACACTGTTTAATCGACAAAACTACAAAATGGTATTACAAAAGCCAACTGGAAGCTATAATAGTAGTATTTAATATTTGTAGTGCATTCTATGGTTTCTCAAAACTTCTTTAATCCACTCGGGCATGGACTCAGTGAGGTGCTGAAAGGTTCATTTGTCCTTTAGATTCCTCCCTGCAGTGTTTACATTTAACGTTATTCAGCAGGTTTTGTTTTATTGTAATTATGGGTTGATGATAAATGTTCGTCCATAACTTTATTTGTAAAGCTATATTTAATACTGGAAGTTTGTAAGAATGGTGATTATTACTTGTTTTATTTTCTGGTATTTCTGAAAATAGTTTGAGATTTAGACTCGATGAAAAACAGTTGGTCAGTTATTAGATGCAAATTTTGATATCTTTAATCGAAATATTACGGAATCTTAGTTTTTTATGTATTAAACTGTTTTTCTGGGGTTCACGTGGTGGTGAACTTAAAATAGTGTTAAACTGTCAATAGTCATGATTGGTTCACATGGTGGTGAACTTAAAATAGTGTTAAACTGTCAATAGTCATGATTGGTTCATGTGGTGGTGAAATTAAAATAGTGTTAAACTGTCAATAGTCATGATTTTTGATGATTTCTGGGGTTCACATGGTGGTGAACTTAAAATAGTGTTAAACTGTCAATAGTCATGATTGGTTCACGTGGTGGTGAAATTAAAATAGTGTTAAACTGTCAATAGTCATGATTTTTGATGATTTCTGGGGTTCACATGGTGGTGAACTTAAAATAGTGTTAAACTGTCAATAGTCATGATTGGTTCACATGGTGGTGAAATTAAAATAGTGTTAAACTGTCAATAGTCATGATTTTTGATGATTTCTGGGGTTCACATGGTGGTGAACTTAAAATAGTGTTAAACTGTCAATAGTCATGATTTTTGATGATTTCTGGGGTTCACATGGTGGTGAAATTAAAATAGTGTTAAACTGTCAATAGTCATGATTGGTTCACATGGTGGTGAAATTAAAATAGTCTTAAACTGTCAATAGTCATGATTTTTGATGATTTAGTGATAATTTAATTGGATTTTAAACACACATTTCTAAACTATTTATATCAAAATGTTGTGGGTCCATTATTTTGTTAGTTGTAGGTTCCCCTATACCAAATGAGTCTCTCAGAAAATTTTAGACAAAATATTTTACTTAATCTCGCTAATTGCTGGTGGGGTTCCTTATGTTTCGAAAAATGGCTTCCCCCGGAATTCTGGGGCAGTTCCTTTTACTGAGTGATGGAAGCAGAGATGTAAAACGACTCAATATGATGAAATTTATGGACCCCCACTGGTAGTGAACAAATAGATAATTTGAGAGTTACTTTTTATGTAATTACAATCTTATGGTGAACTATTTTAGATCTTACCTATTGTGGATCTGATGGCAATAAGTAGCTCGCATTTTGCCAAACTGAGGGATTTTATCACCTTACAGCTTCCTTCTGGCTTTCCTGTGAAAATAGGTACGGTTTCAAATTCTTTGTGTAACCTAAAAATTTATATGATTGGAGTAAATGTCTTGAACTTAAAGATATTTTGTGGTTAGACAAAGTTACTCCGACACATAAAGATATGTAATGATCGGAGTAAGTCTCTCCCACATAAATGTGTAATGATCGGAGTAAGTTTCTCCAACATAAAGATGTGTGATGATTATGGGGGAGAGAAGATACTGCAGACCTCTATGGGAATAAGATGTGTACAGTGAGGATGAGATCTGCAGACCTGTAAAGGAATAAGATGTGTACAGTGAGGATGAGATT